TAGAATTTCTAGTGTGCAAATCTTATCATGCTGCTCCTTGCTGAAACCCTTCATAATGTTTTGCTTTTGAATAGACTCCATACTCTAAAACATAACCAATATTACTTCTGACCCAAAATAGGTTAACTTCCTCATCTCTATTCCTCCATACTCCTCTGTTACTCTGGTTTAGCTTTTTAGTGGCTTCTGATTTGTGTATTTCTCTTTTCAGAGTCAATCAAGTCTGAAATTCTGTGACTTTAAGATATATCATAAAGAAAGATTATAAATCAGTATGTTCATTCAACAGTTACTACGTATTAACTGAGCACCTCCCAGGGAATGTTAGGTGTTGAGATGACAAAGGTAAATAAAAGAGTTCTCAGGCTAGTGACAGATACCAATGTAACCAAAAATTTACAATCGACAGTGGTAATGTGAAATGATAAGTACAAGGTGAAGTGGAAATCCAGCGGTGGGAGGGGTTCATTTTATAATGTAAAATGGGGAAGTAGAAAAAATGCAGGGACATTTTTGTAGAGGGGATGATGTGAGTAGTACTGAGTACAGAGTACGAGATGGGAATTATTGAGTAGATCTTAAAAGAATAAACATTTGAGTAGAGAAGAAGGGAAGACTTGATTTTTAAAGTAAAAGTGAGATTGCATGCGACTTGTTATTGTTGTGAAGTGCGGTAGAGTCGGTTCTGACCCATAGCGACCCTGGATAGGATTTCCAAGGAGCAGCTGGTAAGTTTGAACCGCTGACCTTGCAGTTCAAATGGCTTTGCAGTCTGGTGCATGAACCCACAGTGCCACACATGTGACTAGTTATCCATCATTATAGGTAGGTTAAAACAGAGGAAAGGGTTCCTTTTGGTCAATGGAAGGGAATGGACTAACTTGGGCATAGCCTATAAATAGCTCGGTTTTTTGAAAGTCTTCCAGTATTCTTGCCACTTCACATCTCCCAATTTTACTTTAATTGCATTAATGGATGATGAGAGAAGTTGTTCTGTTCACTTCACACCAATGACAAAAAAAGTAAGCATGAGCTTAAATGGCTCAAGAGATATTTAGATTTGGTACTTACTCCTTGGTTCAGCATTTATTAAGCATTACGAGGGAACTTTAGAAGTTCGTGGAAGAATTCCATGGTCTTTTTTTTTTTAAGGTTTTTATTGTGGATTGAGTGAAAGTTTACAGGGCACATCATCAGTTTCACATTCAACCATTCATATGACTAGTTTCATTACATTGATTATAATCCCCTCCATACATCAGCAGTTAACAGTGTTTCTCTCTATCCTCTTTAGCTTTTTTTGGGGGGGGGCAGGGGGGAACTTTGCCTTTTTGGAATTTACAGTCTCAGCTTTTAGGGAAGATTTTTACATTTATCTGTGTCCGTGGTCTTTTATTCCATTTTTTTTCATGAACTTTTTGAAGCCCCTTCTTATAGTGATAAGACACGGTCTTCATTTTCAGAGAACTTTAAGAAGACACCGAAAGAGACTAAGAAGAAACATTATGATCCAAAAGTAGAGGAACAAGGAATCATAGTGACATTGAATACCAGAAGTGGACAGGGCCTTATGTACTATCTTCTACTTTATAGCTCTCATTTTACAGATTTGTAAATTGAAAGCCAGGAAGAATAACTAACATACTGAAGCCATCCTGTAAACTGTGGAATCGTTGGGCTTAAATATAGAATTTAAGAGTTTGAGATCATGGATAGAAAACAAGTTTTAAAGAAATCTATTATAGTTTCTGTTATCTTGATAATTTTCAAGGAGTCATCTGTAAATGCAGGGATTTTGAATTCAATCTTTCCTAGAAGGGGAGCCCTACATGAGGCATGAATTCCTGCCCAAGGTAATCTCTCAGTGTCATTAGGGAGAAAGGTCAAAGACCCAAGAAAGTGAGGGCAACATCAGGTGCTTTAACATGCTGTAGAAAAGCCAATGCAGGAGGAATTGGTGTGGTCCAGAGCCATTGAGGAATGAAAGATGGGGATTCACTTTGAATGATGAGTGGAGATAAAAAGAGTGGCCATTGGAGGAGAGCATTTCATTTGGTGGGAAAAGTAAAAGCAAAGGAGAAACAGCAGAAATGAGACCCTAGTTTTCAGGACTGTGAGAAACTCAGCTAAGGAAAGCTGGGATTTCAGGAGTGGGCAAAGTCATCTCCTAGAATTCTATTCTTGTAGTCCAGTGATCTCTTCTATTCTAACTCTCATTTAAGCAAGCAGGAAGGTGTAGTCAGAAGGAGGCACATCTTTTTTCCAGGGTTACTACCAGTAATCCCCTTGGGCAGTACTTCTTGGAGGGGAGGAAGATGTTGGGGTAATCCAGTCTGCAATTAGACTGCCTTAGGATGTGAGGAAGTGCTACGCCACCAGAGAAATTCCAAGGGAGTTCCAGCCCTCACCTGCCAGCACTCACTTCCTTCATGTTACTTATATATAAATAGTTAGAAGCCTCTCAGCTGAAACAGACTCCCAGAAGATCAGAGCAGCAGTACTTCCTCAGCTCAGGTAAGAGAACTTCTCTCTCTCTACTGGTCTCATGGTTTTGGGGATCCTCGCAGTCCCCCTGAATAATGTATTCAGGTGTGTCCACCTGAGTGTACCTTAAGGAATGCTTTCTATTAGAATGAAACCTCTTAGAGGACAGGAATTGTCATGTTTATCTTTGTATTCCAGTGCCTAACACAATATTCAGGACAGTGGGTGCTCAAGAAATGTTCAAGGCAACTTGTATCAATTTCTATTTAACATGTATTCTATTTGACTATGTGCTAGGCGTGTTACATCTTATATCGTTCTATTTAAATGTCAACCCAAGTTCCTGGGACTAAGGAAACAAAACTCAAAGAGGTATATTCATTTGCTCAAATTCATAGAGATGTAGGTAAATCCACTCATCTTAGCTTAACAGATACTTCTCTGTTTTAAAACTGGAAGTCCCATGTCCTGGGGATTCCCTTAGTCTTAGGGCAAACCATGATGGTCATCTTTCACTGATGGGAAGTGGTACAACAGGAATTTGGGCCAGGTTTTCTTATCTTCAAACCTGATACTTGCTGAAACTATTGAGTTTTATTTGTTCATTCCCTTTACTTACATATGGCAGGAATTCAGGTGGTCATATGCAAAAATGGTTTCTAGCATCTTGTCTGACATGTGCTATACCAAGTCATATTGGAACTTGGGGCAAAAGGAATGATGTATGCCCTATAGAAATGTTTCTATGCTCGTGTGGTGCTGTAGAATAAGCATCGAACTTCAAATCGGTTTGAACCTCAAAGTTGTCAGTTCAAACACATCAGCCGCTCCTTGGAAATCCTATACAGGGTCACTATGAGTCAGAACTGACTCAATGGCACTTAACAACAACAACAACATAAGTATGTTATTTTTTTCTGAGAATTTTAAAGTAGTTGAAAAAAATATTGAAAAATGGAAAGCATTGTAACTCACAATGTTATTTTAAGTTTAAATATGATCCAAACAGAATTTTTTACAATTGTTCATTGCTGGCTTTAAAGAAAGAAAATTCATCAATAGTATTTTCATAATATACTTCTAGAAAAATTAACCATTAAAATAACTAAAAACATGCATATAGCAAGCATGTTACTCCTTTTGCCTTGAGTCTCAATCTGGCTCATAATGGCAGGTCTTCAAAATCAAATTATTTGGCTCATTGTTGACTTTTTTTTAGCTTTGCTATTTTATTAAAATGCTATTTATCTTGACTGAACTTTTTGATGGCTTCTTAAATTGAATCTTCAAGGCGAGTACCTCATTGACGACTTCACCTATCAAAAAAACCCACTGCCATTGAATTGATTCCACCCGACTCACAGCATTCCTAAACAGACTTTCTGAGACTGTCAATCTTTATAGAAGCAGACAGCCTCCTCTTTCTCCCATAGAGCAGTTGGTGGGTTTGAACGACTGACCTTGCAGTTAGTAGCCCAAATGCCTAACCCACAGCACTACCAGGGCTCCTTCTGCCTTACCTAATCCTAGGTTATTCTCATTTTTATCTTAAGATGCAGCAGGCATTCTCATTTCCCTCTTCCTGAGCAGCTTCACCCCAAGAAGAAATGAGTTCTTTCTTTGCTTTTCTTCTTTTTGTTTATGGATCACTCACTTTGCTTCTGGCCTGTGTATACAGGGGCCAGGAAAATCATGTTCTTGGATTGGCCCAGGAATACCCGAATATAGCTCTCCTTCAGAGGGTGCTGTGGGGTTCAAGACGCCTCCAGAGGGAGGAGAAGTGTTAAGTGGGAATGGGCTGAGCGCCCATCAGACCTTGCCTTTCCCTGGCAGCTAGATGGTTGTGAAATCACCGGAGTTTCTGTTTGCCTTCAGGGCTGAAATCAATTCATTATTCCTAAATAACCAGTCTGATCTTAGTCAAATGTCAACAGAACTAAACTCTTCAGCCCCTCAGGGTGGTCTTAAATCCAGACAATGCTTCCCACATGGTTTTTTGGTAGCAAAGACTTCTGCTGAGTCTGTTTTGCTTCAGTTGCCCCATGGGCCTATAGGGAAGGTGAGCTCACGTCAGCATTCCAGAAGGAAAGACTGTATACGTCAATTCCCCAAAACAAGTTTTGACATTTTCCCTGAAATGTCATCCTCAATCTACTCACTGCAAGTGTGTGCGGCTCCAGGCCCTATCTGCTGGGCAATGACGATGGGGCTGGGATGGGACAGCATAAAGTAGCTGGGACCTGGGTCACCAGCTTACATTCAGACCCTGAACAAGCACCTGGGCACTCTTCTCCTAGGATGCTCAGCTAGCTGCTCTTCTAAGTGAGTTGTAAGAATGGGACCAGACTATTTGGAACCAAATTAAGCTATTAAGTTTCAGTTAGTGGATACCTATGAAAGATGTATCCCGATGACTCAATGTCTTCTTCTTAGGATAGGAGAGGGAGAATTCAGTAAGTAATACTATCTTTCTTGTGAATTTCTAGCTCCTGTGGTATCCAGATTTCAGGCATAAGATGAAAAACTCTACCCTTGCCCTCAGCCTGTTCTCTGCTGTATTTTGTCTACTCTGGGCACCTTCTGCTGGACAGAAGACACTCCACTTGGGAAGCTGTGTGATTTCCACAAGCCTTCAGAAAATAAGAAGTGAATTTTCTGAGATACGGGACAGTGTGGTACGTAAGGAAGGCATTCACATCCTCTTGTGGCTGCTCTTTCTTTTTCATTACTTTTCTGTCTTTTGTTCTTGGGAACCCTCATAGTATAACCAAAAGACTGGGCATTCCATACCAGAAGGATGCATTTCCAAGTAACATCTGTTGTTGATCATTTTGAAGTGTTTGGGAAAGGAACACCTCCCACTGGGCCTTTGTAGTGAGAGAGCAAGAGGACCAACTACTTGATGTCTAAGATCCTAGCAACAGTCACTGACTGGCCCTTTCTTGTCTTAATTTCTTCTGTTTAGCAAGCTGAAGATGGAAACATTGATATCAGAATCTTGAGGAGCTCCACATCTTTGCAAGACACGAAGGTATGCATCTGGACCTGTTGAACTCTGTGCGGGAGTATGAAGCAGGCCATCTCTGTCACACTGGGTCTTGTCCCTACTCCCTCCCAACATATTTATCTTCTTTTCAGCCTTCAGATCAGTGTTGCCTTCTCCGCCATTTACTGAGACTCTACCTGGACCGAGTATTCAAAAACTACCAGACCTCTGACCCCCACACCCTCCGGAAGATCAGCAGTCTTTCCAACTCCTTTCTAACCATCAAGAAGGATCTCCGGCTATGTGTAAGAAAGGGTCTTAGGGGATAGGATCCATCACAGGAAAGAGCTCTAATAGCTTAAGATACATGCTCTCTTTCATACCCCCATTTAATGGATGGGAAAACTTAATTCAGAAGTTCTAATGATTTGTGCCAAATCATGCAACTATGTAATAAGAACTCAATTGTATTGACTTTTGGGTATATGCTTTGTGCAAAAAGTACTTTGTAAAGTCTAAAGAACTATGCATTTGCTAGCTACTTGATAGTCATGATAATTATCTACCATCCTGGATGTTAATGTTATACATTTCTGTAGGCGGGCTATGGCATTGTGTACTAGTGTAGCCAGTGTTCAGTGCATTCAATCTGTAAGCCATCAAATTCAATTTCAGAATAGAATCTATATAGGACCTTCGAATCCAATTCTCTCTCCCCACAGAGGCTCAGACTTATTCTTCTGAATGTAGAGATGAAGAAGTTATATGGGATCCAGTCAAGGGGGCTGATTTAGAACCTAGCAGCGCAAACTCCTCCAGCACTACTTGTTTCTAAAATGAAAAAGAACGGAGCTCCATCTTTGAGCCTCAAAGGTGGCTTTCTTTTTAAGCTTATGATTAGTTTAAAGACCCTAATGACGAGGTCTGAAAGGTTTTTATATGGAAATGGAGTGTGAGTGATTCCCACCTACTTCATGTTAAAGACAAGGACAGACAGTCAGAATCTTTAGTAAAATCTATCATTCTCTGGAACATTTTCAGCATGACCACAAGACATGCCATTGCGGAGAGGAAGCAACGGAGAAATACAGCCAGATTCTGAGTCACTTTGAGGAGGTATCTGCACTTTTGGTGTTGGTTGGGGTGGATGTGTTTTTAGAATTGAGCTCATAGAGGGAATGGGCGTTGACATTGGTAGAAATTCAGTAGCCCTCAGTGTAATAGCTCTTTGAAGTCAGATGAACCCCTCCCCTGTTTCTTATCAGGGGATATCTCTCTAAACTCTAGAAGTGTGATCGTATTGGTTGGTGCTCTAGGAAGTGCAAGAGGATGACCATACTTCCAACAAGTCACTCCATATATTTCTGAATCTTCCAGCTGTACAAAATAGAGACAACAGTTTTCCAACATTCACATGCTTCCGCATACTCTCAAAGCACACTCCCAAATTCACACATGTCTGTGCCATGCTGCTTCTTACCTCCATGCCTTTGCACATTGGCCAAGAAGGCCTGAAGCTCAGCCCTTACTGACTAACTCTTACTCATCCTAGAAGACTCAGCCTAAGAAGGACCTCCAGGAAGGTGTTGGATGCCTCCCTCAGTGTTAGGTGACTTCCCTACCATTCTATAGGGATCCCATTGTTTATTCTAAATGCCTGCTTCTGCCAGTCTCCATGACAGACTATGAGTTCCTTGTGGGTAGAGATTATCCCATTCATCTTTGAATCTTGAGCCACAAGAAATATTTGTTCAATTGAAGTATGCACAGTGGGCAACCCTACACATACCCACACACACAAACACACCTGTATCTCTTAAAGATACAATCTAATTATTTTTATCTCTATGAGTCTAGAAACTGGAGTTGTAGTTCCAATTCTTCTACTTCCTTATGTTTCAGTTTCCCTATGTAAGACTAGGATAATGACCTCAATGCCCTCTCTTCCTCCTGTGAGATCATGAGGTTCTGGAATTTTTTTTCAAGCTCTGTAGCATGTCAAGGCCCAGAATGCACTGTTCATGTGCCCCAACAGACCTGCCAATGAGAAGAGAGCAAGAGAGCATTAACCTCAAAGTAAGTGTTGCCTCTGTGAGTTGCTAACCGCATGGGTGTGTGTCTCTTTCAGCTTGAGCTTCAGGCAGCTGTAGTGAAAGCCTTAGGGGAGCTAGATATTCTCCTGCAATGGCTGGAGGAGACAAAATAGGAGAAAAGCGATGCTGCTATGGAGAGTATTCCTGACCGAGTCCCACTCTTCAATACCTGCTGAGGAGCGACTGAGAGCCATCATCTCTTTATGACACAAGCCTGTTCTGCTCACTGTGTATATTATTTATTTATTATTTGGTCCCTTATTGTGATTGTCTTCATGCATTCCCAGTCTTAGTTTAGATTGTGTTCTCGTAATATTTTTGTACTATCTTTTCTACTGTTGAATATATTTATTAGTTTTAATACTTATTTATTTTAGCTATTTAATGTATTTATTTTTATACTTGAACAATGAGACTTTTATTTTTAATTCCCAAGATTTTATTTATAACCCATAGAGTAAACAAAACCCTCTACATTCTAGAAGAACTTTAAAAACTTCTTAAATTAAATTTTTATTGTTGTTAACTGCTGTCGAGTCGGTTCTGACCCATAGTGACTCTGAACAGGGTTTCTGAGGCTGTAAGTCTTTATGGGAGCAGAATGCCTCATCTTTCTCCCACGGAGCAGCAGGTAGTTTCGAACTGCTGACCTTGTGGTTCGCAGCCCGATTCGTAACCACTACGCTAGCAGAGCTCCTTCTTAAATTAATTAAGCATGTATTTATCAAGTGTCAATGCTCTATGAGATATTTAAAGTTGAGCCAATGATTACTTAGCTTGGCTCATGGAAGAAGATACTCTGATGTAAACCTAGAGACCTAATGACTCCCACCCAGCTCCTCAAGCCCATACTTGTATATCTTCCAGGTATGATGTCCTATGTGCCCAAAATGTATTTTTACAAATAAAGTTTTCTATGACTAGTATCTGCTTGGAGTTTGAAAATGCTTCTGGAGCAGAAGTCATGGTGGGAATGAGTTTGAATCTCATGTCACACAGGACCCTCTCTCTTGCTTCTCTGTGGAAGTAATATACATGTTGGAACCTAGGCCTTCTTTCTCCTGCTGGATTAATTCCCAGTTCTTTCTCTAAACTTACTTACATCATTGATCCCATGACTGCCCTCTATGTAAAGGGACAGTAACAAAGTGAGGGGTTTTAATTACCTCTGCCTTTACATCATAAGCTTAGGTCACTGTCCTCTTTGTATCTCTCTTTTCTTTTCCATACCTGGTTTCCATACTCTTGCATCAGGATTCCTGATTGCAACATAAATTGCTATGGATGATTGTGTTACAAGGGTCTGTTACAAGGGTTAAGAATTCACAGGTACTTACAGAGTCCTCAGAGAGATTATGAGCCTTCTCTGGGCACCTTCCCTTTGGGAGTGAGTTGAGCCCCAGAGTTTAGGTTGATCTGATCAAACATTAAGTCAGTGTCCTCTTTTGAGGTCCCTCTCAAGTTGTGCTTTCCTGAAGTCTAAGAATTCTGGTCTGGGCTGGTACCCTCCTCCCTCCCTCATCTCAGATTGAACTGTACTTTCAGTTTAGTAGCTCAGTTTCCCCAATTTCAGGCACAACAGACAGATGTTGATTTCCTGACTTCTATAGACAGCATTCCTTACCACTTTTAGATTTAAGTCCTAGAACTCAGCCTGGGCCCTGGCATAGATTAGATGACATTTCATAAGTAAGGATTATATAAATATCAACTAGAGAATTTCCCTCAAATTGAGAAAATTAGCAAGATACAGAAAAAATACATAAAGAAGAAAGTTTAAATCATCTATAACCCTACCACAACACCAAGGGGTATTTTTGGTCTTATTAACTCTATAGGACAGTTTTATTTTGTCCAATAGGGTCATTAAGTGGGAATCGACTTGATGGCAATTGGTTTCTTTGGTTTTGGTTTATATTCCTTGTCTCTATTACTCCAAATAGGTGTCCAGTAAATTACTGTTAACTAACTGTTTTCTTTCCATCACTTCCAGTCCGAGGTAAGGTCAGAGGTCCAGATACCACCCAAACGTCTTCACATCTTTCTGTCAGTTCTCAACAGTATATTTCTATTCTGTTCCAATATCCAGAATTATTGTCATAATTCTGAGGCACAATATTAGAAAGGTAGAATGTTTCTGCCATAGCTTTAGTGGAAATTTTGTTATTTCCTGCTGGAGCCATGTTCTCATGACCACCCACTTCCAAGACAGTTTTCACTGTGGGCCCTGAAGACTGGAGGGATGTCAGGATTAGGCTTGAATTTACAGTGTTTGCTGTCTGCATCACCCATTATCTTTCTTTTGGCTATATGTTCAAGAATCTCTCTGGGCACTTACTTTGCCTGATCATATGATAAGGCATGGTTAGTGTAACAGTCTCTGTTCCAGTTAAAGGAAATCCAAATTGTTCCAAGAGATCCTTTTCTGTAGATCTGTCCAGGGCCCTCCCCATCAATGTAGTCTCAGTGCCCTGACACTGAAGGAATGGCAGGGCCGTGAGGCCAGCTCCTGCAGCGCCCACTATGCCCCCAGCCACAAAGCCACTCAGAAAATGCCAGGACCCTCTGAGGCAGGAAACAAACCTCTTTGCAGCTGGCTTGTCTTATCCAGAGTCTCAGCTTTCCCTGAGGTTCATTTTTAACATATCTTTTGTGTCTGGTTTGAATTATGGCTCGATTCTTATTACCTGAGAGATTTGTGTTAGAAAGCTTAGCCTTTTGCGGATTCTGTTTCTACTTTGTTGTTGTTGTTAAGTACCTTTGAATTGTTTCCAACAGATAGCAACCCTGTATGGCATTTCCAAGAAGCAGCTGGTTTTGAAATGCCAACCTTGTGGTTCACACTCCAGTGCTGATCCTACAGGGCCACACCACAAGTCCAATTTCTATTTTACAGGATAATAATATCTACTTTCAGGGAATGGAAGAGATAGCTTTTTATACTTCTTTGAAAACAAGGCATTTTCTGCTTTTATGCTTCAAATTTCACACATTTTCTATAGAATTTTCACCCCCATGTGACCCATCTTCTATCAGATTTTCCAGATGCACATCTTCTGGTATTCTATGAACAGGTCAACTTTCAAGGAATAGAGTTGAGAGGTCAACCTCCCCGAATTCAGTGCTAGAAATAGAAACACCATTTCCAGGAATCATTAGATGACAAGGAAGTTGGTTTTAACTGTGAAGGATGTGAGCCATCCAGATGAGCATGTCTGAAGCTGACCACACAATTGAGGATGAATGTCTGGACCATGGAAAGTCTTGTTTTCTTTTTTTGGAATCCATGTCACAATGTTTTCATTGGCTTGTTAACACTTGGTCTATTCCTCTTCCCTACAATATTCATCTCCTCCTTTATGTTATGTGTCTTTTCTCTGCTTGGCGTAGTCATCTCATAACACTGGAGAATTCAGCAGTAGAGACAGTGGTAAAAAGGTTAAACCAGGTTGAAATTTCAGAGAAATCTTAATAAAGTAGGGGACCATTGAAGGACAGACTAAAGAATATCTTATAACTGTTACTTCCAATTACAATCATTAAAAATTAATTAAGTCATTTCTTAAGTACTTACTACATGCCAGGCACTGTACTGGCTACTTGGCATACATTATGTGTAGTTTTTAAGTTTTTTTTATTGTGGATTGAGTGAAAGTTTACAGGGCATATCATCAGTTTTACATTCAACAAGTCATACACCTTGTTTCATTACAATGATTATAGTCCCCTGCATGTACCATCAGTTAGCAGCATTTCTCTCTATCCAATTTAGCTTTTTAAAAACAAACAAACAAACAAACAAAAACACTTGGGGATATATAATAATTTACATCTCCAAAAGGTGCATTCTGCAAGTCTGCCTCCTGGCCTCCAGCTCTTAGTCCCTCTCTTCTTAGTCCATGAATTTAGAGTCCTCAGCCACTCCTCCTCACCATGCCCCCATCTCTGCCTCCTTCTCTGGCACTGCTGCTTCTCTGGATGAGGTCCCGCATTCTGCTTGTGTGTTTCTCTCTTGATGGTCCTAGGGTTCTGTGTTTCTGGACTGTAAGATTAACCACTCATTCTCCCTCCCCCCCTTCTTTTTTTTTTTAACAAAACTTCTACCTTTACAATTGTGACAGTCACGATTAGTCATAATAACAATTATTCACCATTGAATCTTACAAATCTTATCCCCGTCTCCTTTCACTAGACCCATCTAGACAAGATGACAGCTATTCAGTGGAGACTCTTAACCCACACTCTTAGACTGAACTCCCTCTTGAAACCTTGTAAGCCAGTCACTTCGTGCCTTTATTGCCCCCTCATTTTAGATAGCCAATGTCTAAGTTGCCTGTCCCTATCTACCCT